AGGCACAGTGCTCACCCTATGGACTATTCTCGAACCCCCATACGCCACACCATGTTTCCCTGAGGAGGAGGGGGCACACACTGTGGTAACTCTGTGGGACAACACAGAGCACACACTAAGGACAAACCATTCAGGTCTAAGCACTGCCTGGGGTTGAGACATGGTCTGAAAAGGGGGCCTGGCCCTGTCAGGATCCTGGCGCTCCTCTTCTTCCCCCAACAACTCGCCCCTGCAGCCCCCCTCCCCGCGCCGCAAGGCCCTATAGGGCGAGCGCGCATGCGCACGCCGCTTCCCGCCCGGCAAAATCTGCCCCGGCAAGGCGGCCCACCCTAGCAACAAGGCTTACCTCACCGCGGACCAATCAGCGCCCAGCAGCGGCCGAAGCTTCCAGAGTTTTCCTCAGAGCTCCTTCTCCCTCCTCCACCCGCTCCCCTCCCCATCAACCAATCAGTGCCCGCTTTTCCGAATTCTGCACCAATCAGCTCCGAGTGCCTACAGAATCCCGCCTACCACCGCAATCTTCCTGTGTTTCTAACCGCCTTCTCACCGCACCTCGAAATTCTTCCGCGACCTCAGAAATTCCTCGATTTTGGGGGGGTCTTAGTTCTTACACGGAAGATCTAGGACCCCCTTCTCCATTTGAAGAGGAAACGCAGTGGTCCAGACACGAGCATTTTTCACGGCGGTGGTCTTTTACTTGGGACTACTTTGAGCGGCGGAGGGACACGTCACTCTAGAGGAGGCGGAACGGCTCTGAGGTCAAGCGCATAAATAGGGGTGGGTGTGCGTCACACAGCTGCAGAAGAACTGCAGTGGAGAATCGTGTCGGAAGGAGAAAAGTCCCAGGGCCGGAGACGTGAGTCGAGTGCTGGGGAGGCGGGGGCCGAGAAGGACTGGGAGTAAAGCGATATTAGGGTTTTTTTTTTTTTCTTCCCTCCCGTCTTTCTTCTCTCTTTCTTTGTCTCTCTCTCCTCCTTGGAGAGGGTAGGAAAGTAGAAAGTAGGAAATATATTTGCGGGTGCAGCGTTTTTGTTTGCTACAGCTGTTTGCATAGAGTCTTCTCTTTGCCCGGACCCAGACAGTGGGTTGGGAAGAGAGAGGGCATGAGGTGGGGGAGGTGAAATACACAGAGAGGAGAGGAGTGGAGGTGATTGTCGTTTTTTTTCTCCGGAAATAGGTGCTGAGTCACAGGGCTCCCGGAGAAGGGGGTAGTGCAGCTGTTGTGAGGCGCCTCCCTGTGCCCGTTGTGAGGCTGTGCCGCCTGCAGCTGCTGGGGCGGGTGGCGACGTGTTGTTAAACTGTAGTGCTTTGGGGAATGGGAGGGATTGGGTGCCATGACACCGAGGAGCTGGTGATCTGTAGGGAGGCAATGCCAGAGAGAGCAAGAGCTATGTTCTCAGAAGTGTTCTTTTAAGGGGACAAATAGGGTAGCCTGAGAGTAGAGAAGGAGCTTCTTTCTTTGAGAGAAGAAAGAGAACATCTGTAGAAATTATTATAGTTTTGTTTAGTGATTTTTTTTTTTTTAATATTTTCTGTGAGGTAGAAAAAACGCCTTTTATATGAAATGGCCAAGGGTTATGTGATTGTTCTGTAACTTAAGGCTGAACATTTCCTGTGTTTTGCAGTTCAACATGCAGATCTTTGTGAAGACCCTGACCGGCAAGACCATCACTCTTGAGGTCGAGCCTAGCGACACTATTGAAAATGTGAAGGCCAAGATCCAGGACAAGGAAGGCATCCCCCCGGATCAGCAGAGGCTGATCTTTGCTGGCAAGCAGCTGGAAGACGGACGCACCCTGTCCGACTACAACATCCAGAAGGAATCCACCCTGCACCTGGTGCTGCGTCTGAGAGGTGGGATGCAGATCTTTGTGAAGACCCTGACTGGCAAGACCATCACCCTGGAGGTTGAACCCAGTGACACCATTGAGAATGTGAAGGCCAAGATCCAGGACAAGGAGGGCATCCCCCCGGATCAGCAGAGGCTGATCTTTGCTGGCAAGCAGCTGGAAGATGGACGCACCCTGTCCGACTACAACATCCAGAAGGAATCCACCCTGCACCTGGTGCTGCGTCTGAGAGGTGGGATGCAGATCTTTGTGAAGACCCTGACTGGCAAGACCATCACCCTGGAGGTTGAACCCAGTGACACCATTGAGAATGTGAAGGCCAAGATCCAGGACAAGGAGGGCATCCCCCCGGATCAGCAGAGGCTGATCTTTGCTGGCAAGCAGCTGGAAGATGGACGCACCCTGTCTGACTACAACATCCAGAAGGAATCCACCCTGCACCTCGTGCTGCGCCTGAGGGGTGGCTTTTAGGCATTATGTGTCTTGCTCTATAAGGTTGCCAGTAGCATTTGTTTTTGCACTGTAGTCCTTTAGTCTTAACAGTAAGTTAAATGCAAGGTTAATGCAAGCTTAAGTAACTGCTGAACTGTCTGTTTAAATGCTAATAAAGTTTTATGTTGCACATCAATTTGTAGTCCGTCTGAATTCTAGCTAGTAAAGCTGGTATGTTTCAGTGGTGTGATTACTTCCCCCTTTTCCATGGCTCTGTAAGCCTCTGTTGTGTAATGAGGATATTGTAGATAGAACACATAGATTAAAGCCTTATTTTGAACAGTAAGTACCTTCTTCCCTGAACTTAAGAACAAAGATTTTTATTTCCAGCTAGGGTAGTATACTTTGACCAAACACTAGAAAACTACAATTAGAACAAGCAAATGAGGTTTAGATATGCCTGTCAATGTGGTGTTTTTCGTGGTAGTAGAGCTTTCAAATTAAGTTGCTTAACTTTAATGCCAAGAAGTGTGTATGGATCCATGGCTTGCCACCTGCAAGTCTCCTTCCTGGAGGATATAGCGGTAAACAACAGTCCATTTTTTTATGGTGATTTGGGGAAAGTGTATCTAGTGTAGAGAAAGTTGCAGGCCAATGCGGGGGGAGGGGGGAGAAATAATCTCCTGGAATGAGACTGTTGACTAAACTGGATTATGATCTGGGGAAGAACTTCGTTACTGGAAATAATAATTTCAATCATTGGTTATGTACAACAGGCAGTCTAGAAAGATGTGGTAATGCAGTAGCCTACCACCATTAGCCCAAATTCCTGCCTTAAATACTGAATGGTGATATGTGACAAATTTAATGGGTTTGTTAAATGCTAATTTTAACAAAAATCTGATTTTTTAAAATAACTTGCAGTACTGCAAGATGAGGAGTGCTGACTTGTTCTTACCAGGTGGGTTAAAAAAACCCAACTGCTTCTTGGCAACTTCTGGTATGAATTAGTTTGTTCCACTTGCATTAAGTAGCTGGTCATAATCGAGTCCCTCTTTATAAAAACTTAAGTATGTTGTAAGAATTAAAGCTTTCTTCAAGAGATTTGACAACTGTTTAGCCTTCAAGGTTGTGCCTTGGCACCCACTTATATATGCAGTATGTCTTTGTTGGTGCACTTGGCTTTCTACTGCATACCCTGTGTTAAGCACCATCTTCCTGGGAGTTTTTTTGTTCAATGCTAGGGTTATGGATGCAAATTTGTTTCTCTTTAGTTTTCCACTTAGTTTTCTACATAATATTACCCTTGAGAGTGGTTATTGGGTTGCCTATGGTGTAATAGTGTGCCTATATTACCAGGGTGTTCAAGCATAGATGCAGTTGTAGCAAACAAATAGCACATTCATAAACTCCCTGAGCAACTTACAGAGCAGAGGAATCGTGGTGCTGAATTACTCAGTTCTCTGCTGCTGATTTGTTCTGTGATTAAGTTACCTGCTTTATCTTCATTGGTTCGGAGTTGAGTGGTCATTTGACGTTTGAATAGTTAAGCTGCCCAGTAAAGTTACAGTTGTTATTACTCAGGCCATAGATGCTATTGGCCTTTTGGGGGCTTATATTTAAGCCTGTGAATAGTAAACACCCTTTGATACCCTTTTCTCTGTTGGTTACTGAATCTGACCTGTCAGAGAATCACAGAATTGGGATTGGAAGGGACCCTGGGAGATCTTGTCCAACCCTCCTGCACAAGCAGGGTCACCTAGAGCACCTTGCACAGGGTTGCATCTATGTGTATTTTGAGTATCTCTGGAGGAGGAAACTCCAAAACCTCTCTGGGCAACCTGTAGCAGAAGTGTTGATAAAATTTGCTGCAGAGCCTAGATTACTAGACCATTTTAGAGGCACTTGGCTTTGCCTGGATTATTTTTGGGGCTAGCAAAATTTCAACCCAAGCTCAATGTGTGTGGAGCCATTGCTTCTGGTGGTGTTTCCTAGTGCTGCTGTTGATGCAGGGGTTTTATAAGTGGCTCACACGTGGATGCTGCTTTGGTGGGATATTGCACCTGAGGTAATAAACCTTGGGCAGGGTGGATTTAGCAGCCGTAGGAGTGGCTCAGGGTGTATCTATTTTAAGAAACTGCACAGTGTGTTTCACTGTGTTTGGGGGTGTGTTTAAAGGTTTGCTGTATTAGCAGCTGGCAGAAGGTGAGGATTAAGGAGAGAAACGGTTGAAAATCCAAGTTTCTGCAGTATTAACTGTAGTGTTAACCATACATTCCTGATAACTTGATAAAGAGTCAATGACTTTAATACTCAGAAGTGTATGCTTACAGCTCCTTTTGGTTATTTGAAGTTTCCTCTAGAAGCTTTTTTTCTAAAGCATTCAGAGGATTTCTTTAATGACCACAGGATGTCACTGTTGCTTTACAGAAATGCAGTATTTCTTCAGGCTGTTATCATACAGGAAGGGATGTCCTTCTATTTAAGGAACATGAAAAGTGGATGATTCCTTTAAAAGCCTGACAAATTTATAGATAGCCTTTAAATATTATGTGTAAGGTTAGTAGTTACTGAAGCATTATTATTTAAATTAAATGGGTCCCTGAGGCCATCAATGAAGTTCTGGCAGGGAATTACATGCAAGAGTGTCTTGATTTTAGACAGGACATCAGGTGCTCCCCCTAAAGGTAGGAGGCTCCATCTGTGTAGCTATAACAAACTGCTAAAATTCATTCCTTCAGTGTAGGGTTTACGTAGTAATTGTATAGGAAAAAAAAGCCTGTACAAAAATATTTTGTGTTTTCCCTCATCTGAAGGTAATGCATATTTAAAATAAAGTGTTCTAGCCCTGTGACCTTTGCAGGCTCCGAGTACGTACTGGCCTACTAGGTGTTCTCGAGAAAGTTTTAACAGTCCACCCTGCATGCTGCTATTGCAGGTTGTCTTCCTGCGAAGATGGTTTTGAGGTGCTACCGCTACAGAGCAGCGTTGTCCTTAATCTGCAGGCGCATGTAAGTGACTTCAATTTTCTGGTTACAGCATACAGCGAACATAGTATTAATCATAAGAGTATTACATTCTTAAATATTTGGTAAAATGAGCACTTAAGTGAACAGAGAAAATATTTTAGGAAATAATGCTTTTTAGCTTTTTAGAAAACTGTTTTCCTCATGCTTGCTGTTGCCTACTGTTTATGCAGATTCAGTGTCATTGTTTGTCGTGAATTTCTGTGCATCATCTATTCTCTATATCAGAGGATACATTCCTTTATGAAATTTCTTTCCATGATTTGATTTAATTTCACTCTAGTAGTTCCAACTCTGACTAATCTTTTGGATTTAAGGCTTCCCCAGAATATGGTTCTTCTGTCAGAAATAACTTGTGAACTCTCACACACTTCTGAGTCATCTTCATCAGTATAATAAATACTGAGCTATCACATGATTCTTCCTTGTTCCCCCAAATAACAGCTTAAAACAGCAGGAGGATCACATGTTGCTTCTGAAAATGCTGGTTTGCATTTTGGTGATATTAAATTGTTCCTTTTATCCTCCCTGTGTGCTGCCTTGGATCCCTTTCCTCTGAGCCCTGGCAGCTCTCAGGATTTTAATTTTTGGTGGCAAGATCCTTTTTAAGCATCACCACCAGCTCAGCTGGCAGCTGCGCAATAGTGACATAATCCCATTACTGGTCTCCAAATGCCCTGTCACTGACAAATACAATTTGGGGTAGGTCTTGTATTTTTTTCTGCCTTTCTACTTCTTTCTCCGAAATGGAAATATTGGTGTTTACCCTAGTGCGCTCTCTGTGACAGAGTGGGTGCATGTGTTCCTGCATACCAATGCTGATGTGTTCTCCCAGCAGCTTTGTTTCTATTTTGCTGTTCTGACCTCTCAGCTGGCAGTAATTCCTTTCCCAGCAAGCTGCACATTCTCTGTGTACGCTATTAAAACCAGATGCACAGAAAGAAATATGTTAGGATGCACTTCTGTGGGCTGATTTGATTCTTTAGAAGGTGAATTCCCTCCCATGAAGGCCGGGGGGAAAGCCCAAGCAAATTTGAGCCCATTAGTCTCTGCTAAACCTCTGGGCCTAATTCTCTGCCTGCTGAGTAAATTAAGAGTTACATCACTAAAGCAAAATAAATTGACTTTGTGCAAGGCTGGGGTGAAGGAGAGGGGAGATCAGACCTGGTCTGGTATTTCTCTGCATATGCCTGTTGTTCATTGGCTATGTTGTGCCTCCCAATAAAGCATTAAGCATGTAAAAAAAAAAAGTAGCTTTGTATTGTTACTGCATTGGCTTAATTTTGCCATAGAGGGATCTGAGAAATAAGCTTTTGATTTCATCCAAAGCTATCAAAGAGGAAAAGGTACCCTGCCATTTGCTGGGAGTACTTAAAGGAAGACACAACCTGTATCTGACTTAAAGTAGAGGCTGTCCGGGAATGTTTCTGAGGGTGATGGGCGCATTCCAGGAAGCTCCACGTCATCCTGCAGTGCTGCCGGATGAGGATTGCTCTTCTCTTTGGGCTGCTTGGAAGAAGAAAGCCACAACCAGAGTTCAGTACGTTGACTTCATGATGTGATGCTTACCTCTCCCTAACGTTTTTTGTTTGTTTGTTTGTTTGTTTTTTTAGACCAATGAGTGACTGAACTTCAGGGACTTCTTGTAGAATGTGCCCTTACTATCCAGCTGATTGGAAGAGTTTTACACCATTTTATTACTTAATGAGTTTTTCTGGTTGAGTTCTGGGTCACATTCATGGCTTTGTGAATCATCGGTGCTCTACAGAATACAGATGAGAAATGCTCGATGTAGATGATGTGCTGTGAAATGTCATTGAGACTAAGTGCTGAGTTACATTACCCTGCATGCCAGGCTGCTGGAAATAATGATCACACTGCCTCCTCAAGCCTTTGTTTTATTAGGAGTATGAGAGAAAAGCTCCGAAAATCACTTGGTGTGGGCTGAGATTCTCTGTTTCCCAGGGGTCCTGTTTGGGGAGGGACGAGGGTTGTTAGTGTACAAGCATGGTCTCAGCTTCAAGTAACTGTGGAGATGTCCTGTCATTCTCCCAGAACTAGCTTTTCCCAGACTTGCACTTCTTTAGAGAATCAACTCATTAATTGGACACTAACAGCAAGTTAAGAATCTAGTGGCCATGGTCTTCAGGAACTGGGGCTGTTTTGT